GTTCCCTGCATGGGGGAAGCCCTGGGGTTCCCGAGAGCAGAAGTCCGGCCTGGGCTGTAGTTTGGGGGCCCTGGTGGCAGCCATCTGGGGTGTCAGTGGCATCGTGAGGCCAGGTCTTGGCAGGGGCTGGGGCAGCAGGCACCCTGTGCCGGCCACAGGGCGGGGTAGGGGCCCTCTCCAGGCCCTGGGAGCGGTCGGCCCTGGCGGCGGAGCATTCACCCCGCGGAGAGGGGGAAGGGCAGGCGGGGCCTACCTTGATTTCGGGGTGTATTTGCCTTTGCGGTCCAAGCTGTAGCCCGCGCGGATGGCAAACCAGAGGAAGGAGCTGAGCAGCATGGCGTAAAGCTGAGGGGGGCGCTGAGCTGGGTGGGGTGCCCTGGGGCCACGCCCTCGGCTCCAGCAGAGGGCTCCCCCAGCCCCCTGCAGATAAGCAGCCTGGGCCACGCACACCCCCCGCTTCCCGCCTGGGGCTGGGGCGTCCGGAGAGGCGGGCGGTACCGTGGCGGCCAGGCCGACGCTGGTCAGCGTGGTGGCGACGTGCGCCTGGGTCCTCAGGAAGCCCCGGATGCTCTGCAGGCAGCCCTGGAGAAGGCCGTGCGTGTCCCGCCCCCGCTCCGGCCGGCGCGAGTGGCGCCCACCACGCCCCCACCCCAGCACGACCCCCAGGCTGGGGCGAGCACGGCCAGCCGGGAGGGCTGGCCTCTGGGGCCGGGCGCTGACCCGAGGCCGGGGGTGCCTTCCTCGGGGTGTGCCCTGTGCTGTCTGGGTTGGGGACCTGAGGCCACCCCCACTCCTAGCCCCCTGGCACTCGGCCTGGCCCAGAGCCGGCCAGCCCCACCCTCGCTGGACCCAGAGGGGGGTGGGCCTGTTCTTGGCGGAGGTGGGGAGCTGGGGGCCGGCGGGCTGGGGGAGGGGGAGGCCTCGCAGACCTTGGGGAGCTTCCCTGCCGGAGGGCCTCCTGCTTGATCCGGCCGGTCCCCAGCTGACCCCTCCTCCCTCGGTGGATGCTGGCCACTCCTGGACGCCTGCCCGCTCCCGGCCCGGCCCGGTGCTTCTCAGCCCGCCTGACCCCCACCCCCCACCTCTGGTGCGGGGGTCTGCGCCGTCTGGCCTGCGGCGGCCTGTGTCTGCCAGCGGGGCCCTCACCTGCCGTGCTGCGGCCGGGCCCGGGCACAGCTGGGCC